AGAAGCACATTGAGCCCCTCCGTGCTCCTAGACTTCTGAGCATCTCTCTATGAAGAAACGGGCAGCCCTACACTGAACAGACAGGAACTGTGGCAGCTCTGCTGAAGGAGTGAGGTGATAGGGCTAAGAGAGAGAGAGGGAGAGAAAGACAGAGAGAGAGGGAGAGAGACGGGAGGGGGAGAGGGTATTAGGGAGGTCGATTCCTCCTTGCCAAGAGGGCAAACAACTCAAGACCAACAATGTTGGTGGTAAGGACATGCTTCAGGAGAGGCCAGAGTTAGGGGAGTCCCATGTTTCGCTTTAGCTTTTACATGGATGGGTGAAAAACTGCAGAGAGAGAAGTGCGATGGGTAACGGTATGTGAAGAGATCTGCCGTAGCGTGCAGAAAGCAAACACGCGCATGTTGTTTCACACAACAGGGACGCGGAGCCAATGAAAAGACATCACTGTAAGTTAAGGCAGCAACAGGAGAAGTGTGGGTCCACACACACGTGAGAGATAAGAGTTGAAGGTAGTTGTCCAGGAGTGTAATTGAATGACTGAGTGTGTGCACAGGGATTCAAGTGAACGAACAAGTGTATTCGGGGGAGGATGCGGGGAAAAGAGAGCGGAAAAAGGCTAAACTAAAGAGAAATCCACAGATTGTCTGCAGCAGGAAACAGTTCCCAGAGCAGGCCTGAGTGGATCAGCAGTGAACAGTGCTAGAACCACTGAGTAAGGAGCCGTGAGTGATGAGGAGAGGTTAAGAGAACTGAACCCATTTAAGTCACCCAAATAAGGGCTGTACAAGCCAGTGATGGATGTTCCAGAGTTCCTGAGGGAGAGAGCGAGCGCTGGGATTGGGAAACGAGCAAGGGTCCCGCGATCCCCCACTTAATAAAAACAAATTGGTTTGATAAACGATGCAGGCTTAATGTCTACGAAGAAATATGCCCAATCATTTTTTACAGTAACAGTAGTCTTTTTAAAAACAGCAAGAAACTCATAAAACATTGAAATACAGGTACTCACAGTTGAGGACAGAATTATGAACCCTTCTAAGACATTTTCAATATTTCATTCACTTAGTGCTTTTATGCAGTCCTTTCCCAATACAGTAAATAAACAGTTGTATTTGCTTCATGCTTAAAAGGCATCTGACATGGTGTTGTCACTTACTTTTAACAGTTTCTTATATTTCTAATCAATATTCTAAATCATACGTGTCAAACTCAAGGCCCGGGGGCCAAATCCGGCCCACCAAGCTGTTTTGTGTGGCCCGCAGGAGCTTAAAAAGCTTAGTACAGTCCATGTAGCAAAGTTTCTATAATCAATCAAATAATAATCATTACATTTTCAAAATAAAACTGTTAGTATCAGAGTCTGAATGACATATTATTTAAAAATTATCTTTAAATAAAGAAACTAAATGGATACGACTTTCTTTGAATGAAGTAAATTAATAAAAATTAAGTACATTTTTTTCACTGTGTCCCACTGCGGCCTGGTAGCAAATGACCTATGGACTGGACCCCTGATCTACATAGTCTTCAAGTTACAAGCGGCCCTTTAAGTGGAACTGTATTGCTGATGTGGCCCCCGGTAAAAACGAGTTTGACACCGCTGATCTAAATGGAAGAAAAAAAAAAATCAAACGCTATTTTATTTTTATTTTTTTTTATATATAATTCTGTTTTTGTTTGCAAATTTAAACTATGTTTAAACTATGTAACTATGTAGTTTTCAAACTATGCATTAAGGCAGCGTTTTTCAACCTTGGGGTCCCAACCCCACATGGGGTCTTATGCAAAATATGCATTAGGTTTTAACAAAATGCCATATTTTGTTTTTATATTTTATATTTAGAAAACAAACCAGGTCCTTTCTAAACGCAAAGCAACAGAAGTGTTCAGTGTTCAATTTTTTTTTAAAAAAAGACATGTTTTAAATACTTTGTATTTAAAAATACACAGTATTTATTAATGCTTAAATAATAAAAACACTGCAATATGGGAGAAGAGGAGTGTTCAATAAGCAAACGACTTTT